TATTTTATATGTGGAATATTAGTACGAATGAAGGAAAAGAAAATTCTATTAATGTTTTTAGTCTATTCCTTGATGCAGCGAATTGAAACAACGTTGTTGCTCAATACTTTGCTGGAAGATATTACGAAGTTGGTTGGTACACCAAGAAAAATATGAAAGAGGTAATTAAATGGTATAACAAAGCAGCTAAAAATGGTTGTCCTGCAGCAAAACGAATTCTTGGAGATTATTGTTATAAGTGTCAAGAATATCCCAAAGCATATGAATTGCTTAAAGACGCAGTTGATAAGGGAAACATAATGGCAATGCACAACTTGGGACTATGCTACAAATTTGGCCATGGGGGTAAAAGTCGATATATTCCAAGGATTTACATTACTTAAACAAGCTGCTGATAAAGGAGTACCAAATTCATCGTATGAACTTGCCCGATGTTACGAATTTGACAAAAGAACAATAGAAAACTTCAGTGAAGCACTAAATTGGTACCAAAAAGCTACAGGTGATGGTAAGAATTGCCATGACGACCGAGAACGTGTCATGATTAAAATTAGGATGGAGCAATCTAGGTTATACCTGGCATCTGAAACGAAATCTATTCGAAACTAGCTTCGGAAAGTCTTAATCCGATATTAAATCAGAAACTCCGAACTATATTTTGAAACTTTTAAAATTTATCATATTTAAATATATATTTATTTTAACGCTCACCGAAGATGAAATTCGTCAAATATGCTATTCCTCGTAAATAATTTTGGTAGTTGATGCGTTAAGTAAAACTGTTTAGTACTCTAAAAAACACTAACCACTAACACTAATCTAAGCTTTAATCTTAATTCTAAAGTATAATTCTAACTTTAAAATATGAGGTAAAATTTCTATAAATTTTATAATAATTAAAAATATTTAGTTATTAAAGAATTTTACTATTCATTTTCAGTGGTGATATCACCTGGATATTATATCCCAAAAACCTACTACATAGTAAGTAAAAATGTTCAGAACCTCAAAAACATAACTCTAACTAAAATTTGGACCTTTATATCTAACTCTAACCTTGGTTCAAATTTACTCTAACTCTACATTTTGATAGAAAATAAAAGGCAGTAGTATTACTACTAGTGGTAAATACTAAAATTGTATTTTAAATCATTCTTTTTCACTTTTACTAAAACGCACCTATGGTGTTTTACCACCTATGTTGTATTATCTCAAAAACTGGCTAATTAATCGATGTGAGGTGTTTTAAGTAAAAATGTTCTATGCTCCCAAAAACCCTTTCCATACCTTAATCCTAACCTTAATATTAACTTTAACGTAAAAAATTGATGTTAAAAATTTTATATACAAAACTTATAAAAACTTAAAAATTTTAATAACATAATAAAAACATATAATAGGTGCAAAACCACAATAGGTGCGTTTTATAATAATTTGTTTTTTTTATTAAATTTATTTATTTTTCAATAAAAAATAATTATAAATAAACATAAGGCTATACAAAAAATTTTTTGGTCTTTATAATATAGAACTGTTTAAACAGACTTGACCAGCCAGCTTTTTTTTAAAATTTTATATATAAAAATTTTATAAATTTTTTTAAATATTTTTTAAAAAACTTACCTAGTTAATAAAACATATAAAAAATTTTTTACAAGTCTTTAAATTTTGACTTGGCTAGATTATAAAAACCAAAAAAAATTTTATTTGGCCTTATATTAAATATTTAATAAAATATTTTTTATTGTGTTTAGTTGCAAATATATATTAATAGCATATTATCACCCAGTAATGTTAGTTAGGTCAAACCAATTCTTTGTTTAATATAATTTTCTCTATTTTTTTAAAATTTTATATAAAAATATGCACTGTATGAACTAATCAATTAGCAGTATTAGCTTTTTATATTTTTATATTTTTTATAACCAATAGATTGCTATGTTTTTTTTATTTGAATATTTTTATTAGAGATGTTAAAATGCTTATATGAAACCTGCTCAAGCATTTGAGGCACAAACTTTTACAGTTTGTTTATAAATTTTTAAGCATTGCTTATAAGCAAATATGCTTTTAATGCTTTAAACCTGCTTTAGGCAAATATACTTTAAATCTGCTCCAAGCAAACATGTTTAAACAAGCATACTTTAAACTAAAAGTTTTAAAATGCTTATTTAAATCCTGCTTGAGCAGATTTAAAGCATAAACTTTTATAGTTTGCTTAAAATTTTTTAATATTCTGAATATCAAAATTCTAAATATACTAAATTCCAATGCACTAAATCTTAAAAGAACAAACCTAAAAAAAGATTCACAATTATAAATATTTGGTATTTTAATTTATTTTTTGATATTTAGTATATTGGATTTTGATATTTGGGATATTGATACAAAATTGCTTAAGACAAATATGCTTTTAAATGCTATCTTACTATTATTTTTAAACCTATTTTAAATATACTTCTAAAAATTATAAACTAATAGCTATATTATACAACTATTAAATAACTATTCCTTATATTGTTTGTTTGAACATATATATCATTATCTTGTATTGCATATGTATGTATATTTTTTAAAGCATATTCAACTACCCATAATCAAATCAGCAATAATCAAAAAGTAGTTTTGGAATTGGCTATAATTATATCAATATTTAGTGATAAGTTTGATCTTACAAATTGAACCTCTTATTTAATATGAATTATTAAGCATACTTGTAAAAGCATTCTTATATATAAACTGGTTTAGTCAAGTATAAACTTAAACTGCTTGAGCAATTTGTGAAATAAGCATACTTGTATAAGCATGCTTATATAAATCTGCATTTAAGCATGCTTATATATAAAGCTATTCTTTAACTAATTGGGCTAGGTGTTGAGAAAAGAGACAAAATTGACAATTTTTTCAAATGATATTTTTTTTTACATAAATCAATTTAGAATAAGATTAAATCATTTTTCACTTAAGATATAAAAGTAGTTGTATTAACTAGGTAAGTTTTTTAAAAAATATTTAA